GACTTTCTCTGAAGCCCTTACCCTGCCAGGAAACACTGCCCACTCATTCCTGATCAGATCTGCCTCATGTAGTTACTAACTCCTACATGCATCCCAGGGCATTGTTCCCTTTCCTGCATGACTTGGAGGGTGGTTTTATGAAGTAACGTGGCCTCATGCAGCTGGGTCCCAGGGCAGCGTGCATCAGAGTCCATCTGCACTTCAGAGACATTTCCTCTCTGCTCTTTTCTCTCCTGACCACATCTCCTCTATTTCTCTGCAGGCACTGCCTATGTGCTGTCATGTTACTTCACCAACTGGGGCCAGTACAGGCCTGGTGTGGGAAAATACATGCCTGACAATATTGACCCATGCCTGTGTGACCATCTGATCTACGCCTTCGCTGGGATGAACAACAATGAGATCACGACTTACGAATGGAACGATGTGACCCTTTACAAATCCTTCAACGGCCTGAAGAACCAGTACGTACCAAAAGCAAAGGGCATCACTTGTTCTGCCTCTCAGGTCCTGCCCAGCACAATGTCAGCACAATCCATGGTCGAGGGATGCAAATATGAGGCAGATTGTGATGGGCAGGGCAAGTTGTCAACACCAGTCCTTTGGGGATGGTGACAACGACTCAGTGTGATGTTGACTTGCTCTTTGGGTTTCACACCAGAAGATCATGGCCTACAAAGGCAGCTAGTCCTGAAATGTTCAAGAAAAGAAAGAGCAGAGTTCTTTATATTGGTCTGTAGTGTAATGTTAGAAATTGAGAAGAAAAAAACATTCCTTTCAGTGAAATGTGTTCCTGTCCCTTTCTTTGTAGGAATAAAAATCTGAAGACTCTGCTTTCTATTGGAGGATGGAATTTTGGGACAGCCAAGTAAGTTCAAGCCATCTCCTTCCCATAACAGCAACCTAGAAAGGGAGGGTGAGGAGGAAGTGATACCAATCAAAGCTCACCTCTGTCCTGCTTTGCTTCCCTAGGTTCTCCACAATGGTTTCCACTCCTGAGAACCGCCAGACCTTCATCAATTCCGTCATCAAATTCCTGCGCCAGTATGAGTTTGATGGGCTGGACATTGACTGGGAATACCCTGGGTCCAGGGGCAGCCCACCCCAGGACAAGGCTCTCTTTACCGTCCTGATTAAGGTGGGTTGAAACAAATGGTTTTTCATCAAGCTCTTTGCTCTGCTCTGGCTGCAAAGCCTGAGCCCAGAGAGTCCATGGTGAGAGCTGTTTCTTGATGTCCCTCAGGAAATGCTGGCAGCCTTTGAGCAGGAAGCCAAACAAGTCAACAAGCCCCGTCTCTTGATCACCGCGGCTGTTGCTGCAGGAGTTTCCAACATTCAGTCTGGCTACCAGATTGCTGAGCTTGGAAAGTGAGTAGCAAACCATCAGATATAATTTCTGTGACTTAAGTGGTCTTCCTTCAAGCGATTTAAGGGAAAATGTGCCATTACCTGGCAGAAACCAACCTCATTGCATGTGGGGTCCCTACTCCTTTGTGTAAGGCAAGAACGCTGGGAGAGTGGTGCTTGTTTGGTGAGGAATGGGACAACTTGGGAAGGGAAGCGTAACAACAGTCTGCCTCCAGCCACTCAGTACCATTGGGAACATCTCTGGGTTCCCAGAACACCAGCACAATTCCAACTCTAGCTCCACCTGTGCCTCCTTCCCCTGGAGAAGGCAATTGGCTCCAGAACTTACAAGGCCAGTTCAAAAGAAATCTTGATGAACTAAGATTTGCAGAAAGTGAGAACATGGCGAGGGATGTGGTGGGGTAAACAGCCAGCACTAAAGGAACACTCAGGTCTGGGTGACTGATCAGGCCAGGAGCGAGACAAGCACAATACTCTCCACAGGTACTTGGACTACTTCCATGTGATGACTTACGACTTCCATGGCTCCTGGGATGGACAAACTGGGGAGAACAGCCCTCTGTTCAAAGGCCCATCTGACACTGGTGACAACATCTACTTCAACATCGTAAGTGTTGTGAGACTGTGTCAAATCTCAGCTCTGTGATCACACCAGTGATGAAAAGTTTAGATATTCATCATCCTGCCTACCAATCCTGGCAAAGACTTGAACAGTGATGGTTTCTTATAGGACTACACCATGAATTATTGGAAGAGCAACGGTGCCCCAGCTGAGAAACTGGTCATTGGATTCCCAACATACGGAAATACCTTCACACTGCAAAACCCATCTAACAATGGTCTCGGTGCACCAACATCAGGACCTGGGCCAGCTGGACCTTACACACAGGAGGCTGGGGAACTGGCTTACTATGAGGTATGCGTGTATTCTAATTGCATTAATTTTAAAAATCATTTTAAGGAAGGTAACCATGGAGCTTTCTGAAGGGCTAGTTCAGGCACAAAACTGTCCACAGAATTGCAGAAGAAAAGTGAAGTAAAATAGTAGAGAGAATCTGCACCTGAAAGCAAATGTCTTATTCAAAACCTGAATATTACTGTGCAGTTTAGCAGCCAGGGTTTGATACAGATGAATAGGCCTTTCTGAAATAGAAAGATGATTCCTCCAGTACAATAAGATAAATTACTAATATTATTTCTAATATTATTTACCATAAGGCAAAGAGTAGGAGGGGATGTTATACTTGATCTTTTCCAAGTAGTATCTAATATGTCCAAGTAAGCCTTTGAACTTCTTAAGCTCATTTCACAACAGCTAAGAAAACATTTATTCTCAGGGACCAGAGAAATAACACAAAACTAAAGAATAAAGTATGTATGATGCCAAATAAAATTCCACCTCTTGGTCCTTCTCCCTAGATCTGCACTCTCCTGAATTCTGGAGCCACCCAGGTTTGGGATGCCCCCCAGGATGTCCCCTATGCTTACAAAGGCAACGAATGGGTTGGCTATGACAACATCAAGAGCTTCAACATCAAGGTATGGTGGGGTGTGTGGCTGTGCTAATAATAAGGCAGAAGGCCTTGTGCAGGTACTGGGACTAATTGGGATTCCTCCCCTGGCACTGAACAGGTTGACTGGCTGAAGAAGAACAACTTTGGAGGTGCTATGGTTTGGACCATTGATATGGATGACTTCACTGGTACTTTCTGCAAGCAGGGCAAATATCCCCTGATCACCACTCTGAAGAATGGTCTTGGTCTGCAGAACAGCGGTGAGTAGCTTGAGTTGCACGTGGTTCTTGAAGGTGACTCCCCAGCTCACTGCTGATGCAGGCTTCAGAGACCTGGGAACCATTATCTCTGGAGCATTGATGGACAAAGACTTTCTCTGGAACCCACAACTAGAGACTGCCCTGGAAAAATCCGTTCACTCTACATCTCCCCAAATAAAAGAGGGAGATGGTAACTTGGACCTGGGTCCAGATGTTTCAGAGGCCTGGTGTGAGCCTTTAAAGGGCCTATGGAGGGAGGGGAGGGCTGAGAAACTGTCAACACAAAAATAAGCCCTTTCCTGCTTTTATTTCAGACTGTGTGCCTCCAGCTCATCCCAATCCTCCAGTCACTGCAGCTCCCTCTACTACAGCTGGAAGTAGTGAAAGTGGAAGTGGAAGCAGTGGAAGTAGTGGAAGGGGGAGGAGTGGGAGGGGGAGGGGAAGTGGAAGTGGGAGCTCTGGCAGCAATCCCGGTGGCTCTGGTGGGAGTAACTTCTGCGCTGGCAAGAGCAGTGGCCTCTATGCAGATCCAACCAACAAGAGCAACTTCTACAACTGTGTTAATGGAGAAACCTTCTTGGAGAGCTGCCAGAGCGGCCTCGTCTTTGACACCAGCTGCTCCTGCTGCAACTGGCCATGAAGATACCATCACAGCAAACAAACCCCTCTAACTGCATGCAATAAGAAAGCTTAAATAAAGTGTTCTGTAAAAGCAACAATCCTCACTGTCTCAATTCATCTCACTCTTAATATTTGGATGCTCCCTTGTTCTCTCATGATACTCACTCGTGTGCTCAGGGAAGGACCTGAATGCACAAGCTGGACTTCATTCCAGTCCAGCATTTTCCAGGGGTTTCGTGCTGCCCCACCTTGAGAGCCAGGCCCAGGGAAAACTCCATGGAGAGCAGATAATGGGGCAGAGGAGGCTGTGTCAGAAGAGAGATCACAGAGAAGGGTCCAGACAGCACAACCTATAGACTTGCTTCCCTTGAGACCTCAGTGTGAAAACAGCAGCTCCTTGAAGTGGGATCTTTCACAGCACAATCCAAAGGGACGTTATTATTTCTCCCCTTTTCCCCACACCCTTCAGGCGCTGCCATTGTCAGCGTTCCCTCCGGCTCTCCCTGCTCCGTGTCTATAGCAACTGGAGTACACACACATCCCCAGGACTGGCAGCACAGCATGGCAGTGGAGTGGGAGCAGAGAGGTGAGACCTTCGAGTTGGGTGAACCCAGTGAGGGCTGTGGGCACAAGGACTTTCCTTCTTGCACAGCTACCTGGTGGCATCAGGCTCCCCCAGAAACCTTCCCCATAACTGGGCTGGTAGGGTACTCTTTGCTCAGGCTGGGCAAAAAGAAGCCTTTGTGGCAGGAAGGAACAGGTAGATCCCTCCTAGATTTCCAGGGGAAATTCCCATCTGGGAAATAAGGGGATGGTTGGCCTCAGGCAGAGAACAGCAGACACTTAAGAAGGAAAAAAAGCAGCAAGTGGTCACCCACGCATGGGTTTATCACACTGGTGGCATTTCTCTCTTCTGGTCTCACAGATGTGCAGAAGCAGATCTCATTTGGGTCATGTCAAGAGAGGAAAATGTTCCCTCTCCACCATGCCCCTGACAGGCTGGGAATTCAGCTGACAATCATCAGAGGAGACCCTTCGCTTGGGCCAGGCTGTTACCTGAGTCAAGAGGTAAGTTGTTCATTTCATGCTCAGAGCTTTTCCTTCACAGCAGACACACAGCACAGGAGCAATAGGACCATGGCCAGCCAGACACGAGGTCCCTCGCACCTGCCCTGCAAATCTATTGTACAAGGTCTCCACATACACCTGGAAAAAGAAATTCCCCTCTCCTTCCAAACGTACAGTTCTCAAAGCTCCAGCTGCCCTAGCGCTCTATATTAGTGAGAAATTAGAGGAATTAATAGCAATAATGTCTGCTACTCACATATTTCTGCCCTTCCCCTCATGCAAATAGTGTCTTAAAAATATCAGTAAGACATTTCTGCTTTTGAATCACAGAGAAGCAGCCTCAGATATTCTTTGGACAACAAACCACTGAGTAAGAAAGGCTACATGATAGGAGCAAGAACAGCCCAGCGTTTCACAACAGAGCCACAGGTAAGAAAAACACAGATCAAAGCAGCAGAGCTGCAGCTTTGCAAGAATTTGTAGGTTGTTCCCAACACAGACTATCAATTTTGATCACATTTGCTGGTGCTGCCTCCAACTTAATATAAATGATAGCTACAGATCTCCTTACACATAGTGTAGAGGGAGGTGTTGAGCCTAGAGACCCACGACCCATCATAGGAGGTCTGGCAACATCGACACATGTAGTTTTATGTACAGATTCCTTTGCATCACATATACACACACATGTAAATGTACATATCAAGGCAAAACCAGGGAGGGAGCTCAGTTATCCTGCCTGAATAAACACACTATGTTTTCTGGCCTAACTTCTCTAGAATAACAATATATTAGGAGAGCCATCACAGGACACACTGGGTAAGGAGTAGGAATTGCATAACTGACCTGTTCTGATTTTTTTACACTACCAGAGTAGCCAAAGCACACATTGAACAGCGGGTCTGCAATGCCCAGCTGCCTGCTGAGCAGAGCATGTAAAAAAAAATGCTTGGCAACATCTTCCATATAGAAATATTCCTTCTTGCAGATTGAGACTCCTGGCCCAGCAACATACCAGCCATCCTGGAAAAAAGAGAGAAAATGCCAGCCTGCCTATGCTCCATTTTCCATTAAGACACCACGATTTCCAGATAAGCCTTCAGATAAAGAATTTTTCCCTGGGTAATGTAATTCATTTTCTTACACTTTTAAAAATAAGCAGGAGTGTTAACAGAGAGAAATACCAAGATACAAATGGGAGATAGGAAACTGAGTTCCCAGTAATGCTTTTTTATCTTCAAAAAGCTTCCCTGCTTTAGTCTTTCACTAAGCATGACGACTAGAATACCACAACATGCATTTCTCCTACAGATCAAAGTAAAGCTGGTAAATTCTGGTATTAAAAACATCAGACACCAGCTCCAGAAATGAGAGATTTTTGTGCCTCTTTTCTTTAGACCTGGCACTTACGAAGCAGACAAGAAATTACACAAAAAAATCACTTGGCCGATGAAATTTGGGTCTCCAGACTGGTCTTTAGTGCCGATGCCAGCCAAGAGGATGCTAAAAACGGAGGTACAGAAGGTAAGGACGGGGATGAGGGGATGTTATTCCTGGCTTAATGCTCCTGACAAAGGAAATTGGATTATTGCTTCGATGCATTTGCACTATTTTGTGTTATCTTTTCCTCACTGGCCTGCTGGGAAGGTGGCTGTACTAGCCTGGGGCACAAGATACAAAGTGATTATCGATCAGAAAATGCCCGTTTGCAAAAACAGTTACAGTCCTTCAAAAAAAACCACCAAACCCCTTCTATTAAGAAATTAGCTCTGGAAGTTTCTATCCACAAAGTGAGAGGATCAGAGCACAGACTTTGCCTCATGTAGTTCTGCTGCAAAGAAAACCTTTCTGGTTTAAAACATGGGTTGAGGTTCTCAACACCATCCAACATCTTCCTGTGCTTTTCTGAAGCAATTATTGTCATTACCTAACGAACAGGAATTATCTTTTAGCTGACCATAGACAGAGAATTCAACAAACACCGGAACCGAGTGGCCTACCTGAGCTTATACTTCAGCTGAGGAGCCAGGGCCACCATCACACCTCCTCGCCTTCCCTCCCGCTTCCCACCCACTCCTGGAGACCTTCATCGACACCACCCAGCCTCCCCAAATAAAATAATCTTTTAAAAAGACTGATTTCTTGTCACTACTTGTGCTTACCTGACATCACGCCAGGCGTCTGCTGCTTCTCGGCCCGGCTTCCCTCGGCTCCTCATCCCCAGTGGGGCTGGTGGACATTTTCTCTGGGTCACCATGGAAGCACCTCACTGCTCACCCCCACACATGGCTTCTCTCACCTCACAGGGCTTTTCCCCCTCAAAATCCAGCCCTAACTGGCACTGGATAGAAGCCAAATTAACACAGTTAGAGGGCAGCTTGGCTGTTACCCCATCTCCTCAGCACTGGGAGTGAACACCACCATCTTCTCCTCAGCTGCCGCCTGCCTTCCCCGGCCTCCTCACCACCATCTCCTCATCTCCAACAAACGCTCCAGGGGTTCACCCACCGCCCAAGGAAAGCTGAGAAACATGGGGGTGTAAGTGGTACAGCCAGCAGCACTGCACTGCCCTCGGGTATGCTCAGAGATGGTGTAACAGCTTTGTGTGCAACTCCACGACAGAATCCCACAGCAACCATCCCAGGACAGCTCAGAGCAGATGGCCTGCAAGATGGACATCTGCATTACCAGCTTTCTCCCTACTGACATAAGGATGATTATTCTCAAGCAAGGAGCAAGCAATGTGCTAATTAAGAACCTGGCCATGAATATAAATTTAGTCTGAAACAGAGAGGTGCTGGTGTTCATCATCAGATGTTCCTGTAATGTACAGCCCAGACCCCAGGGATTGCTATAAATGTTTACAAACCTTCACACACAGACTTCATCTGTCTGATCACAAGCTTGATTCAATCTCAGGGGAAAACGAAGAGCAGGCAACATTCATCCTCGGTATAACTACCAGTCACAACGCAGGCTTTTAAATTTTCTGGGTCTGTTTAGCTGTTTCTGTAGCAAAATTCACCCGTAGCCCAATTTCAGCTATAAAACCAAGATATATTCTTCCAATTTCCCACTTTCGGTCTTCGAGTGCTCTCACGTATGCACGACAACAGCTGCTTATGACCCATCTTTTCTAGGCACGTTGGTCTCTTCCCTCCCAACCACAAGAGAAGGCTTTGTAGCTGCAGCTGTCAAAAAGGGATGTACTTGCTGATCTGCAGTTGCCCCTTTTGGTGTAATCTTTTAAACGAGGGTGGATGACTCCCTGGAAATTGTATTGTCCTAAGACCTGGGTTTTATGGCTGTTTAAGGCTTCACCTTGATATTCATGACTGACACTGCATACTTCACCTCTTATCTGCCTTGGGTTTCTCATCAGGAGAAAAAAAAACCATGTGTAAGAGAAGATGTAAAAGAAAATAAGCTGTACCTATGATTCTGCAGTCCTCAACCACATGTTCCACCTGTTGGAGAAACCTTCTACTAAAGCTTTTGCAAAACTGATGGTGTTTCAAAAGGCACTTTGTCCTCACTGAATGTATTTCTAATGAAGCAAAGTTTTTGTTGGAAAATCCCCAACCTTCTCAGCTCTCAAGCGTTGCTGTGGAGAAAGGAAGGGATGCAGAGGGAAGGACAAGACTGCTTCTAGACTCCACTGAAAATACACTCAGCCTCCATTCAGGTGCTTTTTCATTCCTAAAACTTCAAGGACTCAGCCTGTTTTGCTTGAAGGAGATAAAATTTCTTTTATTATGAACATAAAAAATTACTATTTTCATTCTACATTTTTCCCCTCCCCAGCGAGGGATTTTCTCATTATGAAAAATGCTTAATCCAAGTAAAAAATGATAAAACTTTTATATACACATACATACACATTGTCTCTGTACATCTGTTATTCTGTACAACCAAGGCACCAGCAGAAATGACAATGGCACATGCAGGAATTTTTTGCTAGAGATCTAATTTCAGATTGTTTGGCAGGAACACCTCCATTCTTACTGAAACAATGACTCCTTTTTTATCTACCTCCTCCCTGGGTGGTGGGGGAAGAGGGAAGCCTGGGAGGATGCCTTAACCAAGCAGAGGTGAACATGTACACACGTAATTCTGATCTCCCCAGTGACTGCAACAGACTTCTTGCATTCAGCTACTATAGGAAGCCAGGAGCTGCCTGGCAGTTTGCAGCAGACAAGTCTTTGCTGCCTCTCCCAGCACCACGTTTTCATGCAGAGGAGACGTGTTGGAGCCTGGATCAAACTACAGGATTCTTTTGTCAAAGAAATTGAACCCATATTTTCCCTAAGTATGAATGGCAATGGAGGATGAATGAAAATTAAAGCAAAAAGCCCTCCAGAACCAGCTAACAATTACAATACTCCCATCACCAGTCATTTTTCCTGCTCAAATAAAGTCACCTGCTCTAGGGAAATAAAGGAGAAAAAAAAAAATAAAAATAAAAAAGAGCAATTTCTGTTGATAAAAAACCTGTATTTGAGAATGGATAAAATAAAAAAGTGTGATTAATAGCATGGCCCTGCAGACTGCAATCAATACAGCTTTGTTCCATATTCCAAGTTTTTTAGCATCTCATCTTTCAAAACAACTGGTGAAGGCGTGAACTCTCAAAGGAGTTGTGCTGTGTTGAAACTAACAATAGAACTGAAAAATAGCCCGAAGCAGCTGTTAAATCTTGCCATTCACACTGCTAAAAAATAATCTCAAAGCAGAACGGGGGTAAACACCACACTTACTGCTTTTAAGTTAGAAGTGCAGCTGCAGCCAGAAAAGTGAGGATAAAATGCTGTTTTGGCTCTGTATTTACACTTCACTCTCTTACCAACACATCAGATGCATTTAGTTCATAAAATAAAAGTCTGTTTGCTTTTACCTGCCAAGAATCCAAAGCAAGAAACCTCTCTGGGATTGTCCTGTCTCTGTTAATACATGCTCCTTAAATTATAAGGCCAGGCAAGGCTGATTGCAGAAGTTTCTTTTCTGGCCTTCCTGACAGCCACAAACCAATTATGCCTTTGTATTCTGTAGAGCCTGCTGGGAAGCACTGAGAACCAAGAACCTTTGTGTCCCACATCTCTTCAGAGAGTAAATCCTGCTGACAGTGAGAACAAACCAAAGTAAAAGAGACAATTCCCATCTGTAACCTGGTGGCCTTCAATGCTTTTAAGGCAATTTGACCGTTGACTGTTCCAAGTCAGCAGAAGAGCAAAGAGGAAAGATGCAGGAGGAAGATTGCAAATCAGGATGACAGCACCGTTCACTAGGCAGGGAGAGATCATTCTTCACTTCTGCTTCTCCTGTCTTGCTCCATGTCTCTCACCCACAGCAGTGGGGGTGAACCTTCCTCTGAAGGGTTTTTCTTCCTCTGAGCTGGTTACACCTCACTTCTTTCTGCGGATCTTGGGCTTTTTCACTGGCCGGAGGTAGGGATTGTCTATCACATTTTCTTCCCCGTTCCGACTGCCTGACAGGGAGGTGTTCTGCTGTAACACTGAAGCATTCTCCTTTTCAGGTCCTGAATCATCCTGACACATTAAAAAAAAAAAACAAAACAAAACTTATAGCAGCCTTCCAATACCTGAAGGGGCTACAAGAAAGCTGGGGAAGGACTTTTCATAAGGGCAGTTAATGACAAAACAAGGGGAAATGGGTTTAAACTGAAAGAGGGGAGGTTTAGATTAGATGTTAGGAAGAAGTTCTTCACTGTGAGGGTGGTCAGACACTGGAACAGGTTGCCCAAGGAAGTTGTAGATGCCCCCTCCCTGGAAGTGTTCAAGGCCAGGCTGGATGAGGCTTTGAGCAACCTGGTCTAGTGGAAGGTGTCCCTGCTGATGGCAGGGGGGTTGGAACTGGATGACCTTTAAGGTGCCTTCCAATCCTAACCATTCTATGATTCTAAAACAAAAACATAAGCATAAACAACCAAAGTTAGGCTAAACAAAGCTTAGAAGTTCAAACCACATAACCTATGGGCAAAACAAGCAACAGCCAAGACAAAGAGCAGTACACAAGGAGCTGCATTAAAGGTGAAGAGTCCTGATTTCTAACACAAGATCCCCTTCAGCACCAGTGGGATCCTAGGCCAATCCTCTCTCCCCTAACACTGAAATGAAGGTTGTACTGAGAGCTCATGACCCAACCTCATTTTGCATTGCACCCCGCAGAAAGTTAAAGAACCATGACAATGTTTAGTCATTTACACCTGGTAAAACACAACCCACTCTGCCATTTTCCACCCACTCTGCCCAGCTGCAAGGAAGACAGCCAGAGAACCAGGTTTCATGTATTTAAGAAGGTCAGGCCCAAGAGACTCTGATCTCTCAGGCTGGGTTTACCGTGCTCATGTGCAGCGGAAGGTTCTCAGTGTCTGTCTGGTCGTCTTGCTCAGATGAATCTGTTTCTTCCATTTGCTGCATTTCCAGCTCAGAGGGGAGAAGAGCTGTCAGGTAGGGTACAGTGAAAGGTCTGGCAGCAATCACTAGAGTGAAGGAAAATGCCACAGTCAGCAAGCTGGGAGAAGGCTCCTCAACTCAAGAGATTAGGAAGCACAAAGCCAACTAGTTTCTTAAGAGACCAAATGCTTTCACTGGTTCTGGTTTTAAACACACACATTCTTTTCCTGCTGCTCCCAGGGATCAGGAATGAAATACGTTGTCCCTAATAGATGGCAGTGTCTAATTTCCTATTTCCTAAGGCCTCTTTATGTTTCCAGGCAAGGACACAGCATTATACTAACAGAAAAAGTCCTTCTTGGCCTCCACCCATAAAAGTTCAATTATCTCACAGGCTGAAGCATCACTTAGTCCCCCTTAAGATCTTAACACTGACATCTGTGCTGACAGTGAGCCTTGGGAAGGTGGGAATGCTCATCACTGCTTTGCAGACAGAGAAAGAGGAAAATCTCCACTGCCTACCACAAAAAACTAAGGGAGAAGAAATCACTTGTTTAAAAGTTACAGAGGTTTGGAGACAGGATTGGGATGAGCTTTGAATTTAGCACCTGTTAGTCCAGACCTCCACCACCAGAAGAAAGTGAGCATTTGCTAAGGGTGGAAGCCTATCATTTGGCTTTGATTCTGTTTTTCACTCCCATTTTAAACAGAAACTTCCTCATTTCCCAGCCTTCTGGTGCCTCAGAAGAGCAAACACAATGTGAGCAGCATTCAGTGCTCACCTCCTGCAGCAGCAAGAACTCTAATGGAATGTACACTCAGTTAGTTGTGATTTACAGCACCAGGTGACCTAAATAACTCACATGGGAACGTGCTAACATCATCTTTGAAGAGACTCTGTGTTTCTCCTGTCTTAGCCATGAAACGTGTGAGAGCTCTTTCCACATCGCGCCGTTGAGATGCTGCCTTTTCCCGTAGGACTTGATAATCAGATACTGGCTCCCGGTATGTCTGTGGATCAGAGAGGGGGGGGAAAAAAAGGAACACTGTTAGTGGATGCAATGCAAACAGCTGAAATTCAAAACACTACTTGGATGCAGATGCTACAGGCAAGCATTGATAGAATTTCAGGGAGCTACAGATGTCAATCAGCCAGAAATCTACAGTGAAGGCAACACAAAAACAACAAGCAGTTTATTAAGCCAGGAGGAACAATGTTTTGGATTAAAAAGTACCAGCACTACAGTAAAAATATTTCTACACCACTCCTGGTGTCATTGACTTCAGACAGACTCCAAATAGCACAGAATTCTTTTTGCACTCACTGGTGTCTTGATGTAAGTGTGAGGATCTGGAAACTCAGGGAAATGGCCAGGAATGTGGGATGGATGTGGCTTGTTCTGTCCAGCTGTCAGGGCTTTGGGAGTCACGGGCTGGTTTGTCACAGGAGCTACAGTTAAAAAAAAAATATATGTAAACACACAAATCGGTCAGTTTCATTCTGCCAAGAGTCAGGCATGAAGTGGTAGCTTAACTGAGCTGTGACCCATGTCTCCAGGTCCTATAAAAGGGACAGAGCACATCCCACAAACAATAGTTTCAGGTTGCATTTGGCATCCCAAAAGGGAACAACGATGACTTGGCCCTTCTCTCCTACACAGGAAGAATAAAACCACCTTGAGGAGTCTCAGGTGCAATGATGCTGCTGAAGCAAAGGCAACTGATTCAGTAGAGAGTGCCCTTCACCTACTACACAGTCATTACAGGAATCCTTAACACAAACTGCACTTCCAGGAGCACTA